GAGAGAGAGAGAGAGAGAGAGAGAGAGAGAGAGAGAGAGAGAGAGAGAGAGAGAGAGAGAGAGAGAGAGAGAGAGAGAGGGGGGGGGGGGGGGGGGGGGTGTGAAGTGTCATCATTACTTTGTGCAGGCGTTTGCTACCGCGATGTCGTGAATGACACTTGCGCTAATGTCGGGGGGGGAAAAAGATAAATAAATCAACCAGTGATTCATTGAATTAGCCAAAAGAGACCCAGATTCTTCTGATGGCAACACTGAAGGAAGTTCTGGAGATTTAGAACATGTGACAACAATCTCCTATTTTCGTTACGTCTCCCCTGTTGGCTTAGGTTGTCAAAATGGAAGCCTCGCCTGATGCTGTGAAACCTCACAGTCATGTCAACTGCTGTCCGGTGTTGATGTGGAGGCGGTCCATGACACCTCCTACACTCTTGTCTGACTCTATCGATCATTTGTCTTTCAATTTCTTCCTCTAATTCTTTCTTGTATTAGTCCCAACGCGCTCATTGCGGCCCCCCCACACCCCACACCCCCAGCATTCCTCGCTTGCCTTACACGAGAGGGATCAATGCGCAGGGATAGATGAGTATTTATAGCCGCCGCGAGGGCGTGGGAGGTTGTGGGCAACAAGTAGGTTAGTGGCTAATCTGATGTTGACAGTGGGTGAGAGCCAGTTATTCATATTTGAGAAATTTTGATTTTATTTTTAGAGCTTCCCTCCACCTTTTTGAATTTTTTTTTTTTTTTAAAGGGAGGAAGGCATCATCGCTTCACAGCTTGGGGAAGTCTGTGAACAGGCAGGCAGGGCTTTCCCTCATTTTTGGGAAGTGATTTAAAAAAAAAAAAAGGGTCAAGGAGAGGAGAGGAGGAGAGGGCTGAGGAGGAACACAAAGGCAGACAGGCAGGCAGGGAGGAGAAAGAAGTGCGGTTCGCTGTGGTGACAGTAGGCAGAAGTGAGGAGTGAAATCTCGGCTCAGACGCGCAGCTGCGTATTAGTGAGTGTTTGTCTCTCGTGGCAGACGGCATCCAGACGCTCGCCTCTCTTGTGGCATTTTAGCTCCTCTCCTTAATTTACAGATTGACACTTTTTTTTTTTTAACGATATCCATTCTTTTGGCGGAAGACAGAGCAGGCCCCGGGAATGTCAAGAGATTTTCGGTCCAGGAAATGGTCAGGAATGTCAGGTGTTCGCCCCGTGTGAGCACGTTTGACTTTGCGAGGGACCGCCGCCAGCCGGCTTGCCCGTCGGTCGCTGTCGAGGAGCCGCCAGACGACTTTGGCGCACTGCTGAACAACAGGTATGGTGTGGAACTTCTCTCTGTGCGGCTCGTCATCAGCGAGCTTCTCTCAGTTTGGCGTCAGGCGCTTCATGTGCAGCATCGCAGCCATTTAGCTGATGAATATGCTGCAGTTGGTCATTTTTTTTCCCACTTCATCTTTTGCTGTAGTTTGCGATTTCTTGGACTCGTTGTGGTTAAGTCCTCACTGTTGTTTTCAAATTTTCATCTTTAAAAAGAGTTGCTTTTTTTAAAATGTATCAAAAGTGCTACACAAACTAAATGTTATTGTTACAGTTTATTTTTAAAAATATTTTACCCGCAGATTGTAGTTTTTTTTTTTTAATGAGTAACCCAAACTTAATAGTCGTCAACATTTGTGATACAGTATTTGCTTTCCACTTCGGCTGTACATTTAGATTCTTGCCGTCGAGTATTTGGACTCAAACGGGCAATCCAAAAGTACATCACGAAATGTCAACGTTTATGAAGCGTCTTGTTGAGAAACCATGACATTCATCAGACAGGAAATGACCCCTCCTCGCGCATCCTTCCTCTTGCCTCATCCCCCCCCCCCGTGTAGCAATAATGTCAGCCGGCGGGCTGACGGCTACGGCCGGCTCGCTAACCCGTCTGGGTCTCTGCGGCGCGTTCCTCTCGTCTCGGGCCGGGCAGCTGCGGCTGACGTACGACGTGAGCGGGGAGGACGGGATGAGCCCGCGCGCTGCAGCGGCTCGAGATGAGCTGTCGGCATTATGCAACAGCTCGGTCCAGAGATAGAGCAGATCCGAACTTAGACACTTCTGACTTTGTCCATATTCCATGAGGTCATGAGGCTGACTTAGCAACTCCCTGCTGAGTGGCTTAATATCAGAATAGACTTCGATTGTACAATTGAGGGAAGTAAGATGAAGTCAAACAAAAGACTCATGGCTGACACTTGTCAATTTTTTTTCCCCCCCAAACTGAATGAATTTGCGTTCTCATCGCGGTATTGTCAAAGGCGTGATCCTGTATCAGCACATCTGATGTCCCAAAGAGAAGAGCGGTCAGCGGAGCGCAGGAGGCAGGATGCGAGACATTGAGTGAGGGGGTGGGAGGAATGGAACAAGGTGGAAAATGAGGGGTGATGAAAATGAGCAAAAGAGTGGGAGGCAAAACGAAGACGGTGAGGGAACGCCATGTCTCTCTCTCTCTGGGCTCGACGACGCCGTTATGTCATGTTACCTCATGCCCACTGGCAACGGCAGAGTAGCTACGGAGAGTGGCGCGGAGGTGGGCGGGAACATCATCACTGGAGGAAGATGAGGTACCCGAGAGGAACAGAGCAAAGGTCAAGATTGACTTTTTTTTGTTGTTGTTTTTTTTTTTCCCTGCTTTATCCAGGCTCACCCGAGCCAATGTGGCGCCCCTCTGCGACGAATTACATTCGCTTACAAAAGAAGTCGATTTTAAAACATTTTTCATTGGCATTCATTTATAACATCACATACTTTAAAATATAAAAAGGAGCATTTGCTTCATTTCATGACGTCATTTTGTTACCTGTCAAACAAATCCTGCCAGTGATTGGCTGTTGGGGCACCTCATCGAACAAACCAGCAACAACTTGACCTCTCATTCCCCCATTTTCCCACCTGCCTTTTTATTTTTTTTAATTTTTTTTTTGTTTGCTTCCCAATGCGCAGGACAGTTTTGGTCATTTTGACATGTTACAAATGTTGTCTCGGGTCACATCGATACATCCCCCCCCCCCCCCCCCACAATGAGTGAGCACAATGCCAATGAGCCAGAAAAAGAAAATCTCTTACCTTCCTGACGGCTTCGGCTGCTGTCACTTCAGCATTTGTCAGAGCTCCGATGGAGCTTGTGCGATGGCATCCCCGGAGACACAAACCGGTGGGAGCCTACGAGCGGTGCCGGGAAAACCTGGCGGGGGTCTGTTGAGCCGCCCGCGGGTGTCTGTAGACAGGATGACAGCAACACTGTCATGAAACATAGGACGGACGGGCTAACCATGTATTGCAACAAAGTCACTTCAAAAGCGTCCGCGTGTTTTTTGCCTCTTCGCTCTCTCTTGCAAAATAATCTGTCAGCTTTCTTGTCAGTGAAAAGTTTGCCGGTTCATTGGACAATAGAGTATTTTTAAGGATCGTGTGGCCATATGTTCTGAAAACATTGCCGCTCAAGTTGCACTTGATTTGCTTGGGGCGGGGCTGTTGATGTAATCGTGATGTCATCGGAGTTGTTGTTGTTTGAGGCTGTTATCGGTAACATTAAGCTATGTTACAAACTGGGAGCGTTAATGCAGAACAGAGGGATGAAGTATGGCACCGGTTACTCAGAGCGTCGGATTTTTTTTCCCCGTTATACATGCGCTTGCGTCGTTCTTTCCATTGATTTGGAAACAACGCTTGCAGCCCATTCAAGCCGTACTAATCAATACTACTTTCAATGACACACGGTAGACATGACAGTCAAATCTAACTACTGTCATAAAATGAGGACATACTTTTTTTTTTTTTTTCAGTCGATGGAAGGAGAAGGAATAAAGGGACATTTGCTTGAAATTAAACCCTAGGCGGGGTTTGCGCTGTTGACGTGTCGCACACGTTTCCGCACACAACAGCTCTGATCAACATCTTCACCCCCCCCCCCTCCCTCCCATGGCGGGTAGCGGGAGGGGGCCGACGGACAAAAGTTTGATGGTTGAGAGAGTCTCATTTTGTAATCTAAACACTGGAGGAGGAGGAAGCGGAGGTGGCGGCGGTGGCGGTTTGGGGGAGAAGCTGGGGGGCCAAGATGCCGGAGATTGAACCTGAGCAGGATCTGACGTCGGCTTTGTAACTTGATCAATGACCTCGCAACATTTAGATCCTTATTTCCTGTGTAGCCTCATTACCTCGTCTTATTCTCACCGCCGCTGAGCCTCATAAGCCCCCGATCTAATTAAGAGTTCTCTCGCTGAAATAGTTCTTTTCTTCCATTGCGAAGATGGCACCGCGATTAGATTCCGAGATCAGAGGCGGATCTGACAACCGGAGAAATCGCTTCGGCGTTGACGACAATGCGTCGCTTGGATCATACGCCGTTATGTCAACGCTTGGGAATTCTGCATCCGTCACTGACAAATTACCGTCATCCACTGTTGGCCCGCGGTTGCCAGCTTTCAAAGTGTGCTTTGAGATTTCATTTCGGAGAACAGTCAGACTCCGATCCAATGGACAAATGAGGTGCGTTTTTTTTCTTCTTCTTCAGGAAGTGTGCAAAAAATGTTCCAATTTCCTTGTCGGAATAGTTTCTGTCTATTCTCCGCGCAATATTCCAGTATTCTTGAACTCAAGGCGTTTGGAAATTTGGGTTTTGATGGTCTGTTTGTTGGTAATGCAAAAGCTGCATGACCGCAAAAAAAGGCCCGAAGCAGGGTCCAATGTAGAACCCATTCAATTTTTTTGACATTTTTCTTTTAATCAAAACGGCAGAATTCAGCGAACGTCCTGAACACGACACGTTCAGGCACTGACACATTTTCCGAAAACAGTTAACGGGACTTGGGCAGAGGTTGGTTCGGCTCTCCGCTGAGTTGTCTCAGCAGACATTTTAACCGGGTGGCTAGCCAGTAGTTAAATGCATTCTTTCCCCTGCATTGGCTCAGGTTAGAAGTTCCCCGCAGGAGTTTGGTCTGCGTGCCACTTGGTGCTTTTCTTATGTGTGTTATTAGGCAAGTTTATTTTTGGAAAGCCACCAGTCACACAGTACCTCAAGCTGCGCACACTCGCTGTTGAGGCCTTCGGATTTGCAAAAGCAAGCCCTGTCAGGGACTGGGGTTTTTTGTTTTTTTTTTTTTGTACCTGGCAAGACCCCAACAAGTGTGCTCATACAATGAACGCAGACGTTCCCATTGCACTTTTTCTGCTCCTTGCCGAAAGGCTGCAGAAATTCCTTTTATTGTAAACTCTGAGTCACCGTTTGTTTGTACTTTCTGTTTGCCAACAAAAACTTGATGTTCTTGCTCGGACCAACATAATTACAGAGCGAAATGTTGCTCCTGACATTTTTTTTTTTGGGTTTTTTTTTCATGAACATGGATTTCCTAGCAATGATACGGCAAAACACCAATGTTGTTTTGACGCTAGGCTGAGAAAATGTTTGTGAAGCTCTTCTTGCGGGCTGCTTGTGAAAGCCGCACAATTTCACATAACTAATCTGAAAATAAAGCGAAGGGTTCTTCCTCTTTTTTTTTTGGAGACACTCGGCATAGTTGTGGGAGTTCAACTGGAGAGGTCAATAACTGACTTGGGCTCAGACTAACAATATTGCAACACCACTCCAAGTCCAACCTTGTCATTGGCTACTCCAGCTTAACGGGAAGGTCAATTTGACACGCAGCAAAAGCAAAAAAAAAAAAAAAGATTTCCAAACCATTAAAGGGAAACACATGAGCACCATACAGTACTTGAAATACGGACCTTGTACTTTACCTTTAAAAGCTAATGGCCAGCCATCAAAAAGTGACCTAATGGGCTTTTCCGTTTGTATTTTCAGTCTTCCCTGAGTCAACTCTTTCCACACCATTTTGCATTTCCATGACCAGTTTAGACACGGAAAGCTGTGCCATGTTGTTTTCAGGACACGCTTCATCTGTCATTGGGCCAAAGCGCACACAGAGACGGACGGGTGTGTGACGTCTCGCCTACTTTGGGCCGCGCTTTCTTCTTTTCCTTTTTTCTTCAAGCAACGATGGGGTGGCCAGAGAGAAAAATGTTTTTAAATATCAAACAAAAATATTTTTAACTCGGTGGCCATACACCTAATATAGTCTATTTAACCCTTTAAGGGACAGCGGTTACTACAGTGGACAGCTTATCATGTTATCAGTTTTAAAGGGTTAAGAAAAAAAATGTAAAATATGGTTTTGTATAATACTGTAGTATTTAAACAAAATATTTGAGAAACATCTCACTGGCGGACTGCTGTTCGATACTTCTCTGAAGGTGTACCTAATGAAGTGGTCACCGAGCGTCAATTTTAAGATGGGTTTTTTAAGCATAGGATATTTCAAAGAAACCCCTCGTTTTTTGTTTTTTTAGGTCGGACAAGATGCACAAAGTGGGGACTAGAACGACCAAGTCATAATAAAAAAAGGGAAGAGAAAACTCGCCAGCCTCCTCATACCCACTGAGTAAACTGTTGGGCAACCGGCATTTGGCGGGGAACATTAAGTCCCGCCCTCGTCAGGACAAACAAGGCGGGAGGGAGGCCAAGCGAAAGGATACCCTGGAGGGTGCCAAAGCCGGTTTTAGTGACGTCACCCGGCCTGCTATGTTCAAGCAAACCCCTCCTCCATCCCGCCCGCATTCCAATCCCTCCCCCTTTCACCTCCTCGCTCCACCTCCTCTTTTCCGAGGCCTTACAGGAATTCCCCTCCTCGTCACATTATTCTGAGGAAACCGCTGGCAACGCCCCAAAACCACTGCAGCGCTCCACCAGCTGATAGGGCGGAAACACAGCTGTGACTGTTTTGACAGAGAGGCATGTATGGACTGACTTTTCTTGGTCACGAACAAAAGGACACACTCGATTGTTTATTTCCATGACACGTGAGCCAAGCGCGCGGTAAGAAACGAACATTTTGTCCTATTTGTAAAGCGCACGGCGTCTGATTTGTGTTGTGCAAGGTCAGATTTACTGTAGGTCGTCGCATTTCAGCTTTGCTTCCGTCCTGAACGCACAGCGCGGGTATCGCTGCCTTAGCGAGGAACATCTCGGCTGAGATGGGACCGACTGCGGTGACATTTTTACCAGCCGCGATTGTTCAGCGCTCAAGAGTCAAGCGTGAGGCATCCTGCGTACTTTTCAAAGTTTCATTTTCCGTTTTGCTCTTCAGATCTCGTGTTGGGTTTGATCGGAATTGGAGCGTTTGCTTGATTGATTAAAATGTTGTGGTGTGCTTGAAGCAACAGTAAGCAACCCCCCCCC